ATCTCCAATGTTTGTCAAGAACAACAACACTTAATTGTTGTTTCCCATGTGTACAATAATAAGTAAAAAAAACTTTGTGTGGTCTGAACGTGTTGGGCTAGAGACTTACTGGAAACCCTTACAGGCTTTTTAATGAGAATAGAGAATGTTTTATCTGCAACTGTTCACCTTTAGTTGCAACCGACGGTATTTGACAGCATAAAATTGCCTGTGGCTGTGATAACTGATATAAATAAAATACAGTCTGGTTATACTGACTTGAGCATGTCTTGACAAACTCTTTATTGGAAAATTGTGAAGAAACAGTCGAATATAGAGGGTCGAATATCATACTTCAACTCGTATAGCTACAGTAACATTAGTAGATTACTACATAGCATTGTGAAGACAAGCCTTTTCTTACCTTTCGCTTCACTCAGCAGTCTTTTCCATGCTTCTCTACGCTTTCCCAGGCGAGCTTCTCTTTCCTCAGCAGTCTCCTCGAGCAAACGTTGTCGTCTTCGCTCCCTCCTTTTCGCTAGACGTTCGGCTTTCTTGTCGTTTCCTTGCCACTCTTCATTTGGCTCCATATCTTTTCAATTGGTATTTGATACCGTAATTGTTTTATTAAACTTTTTATAGAACAAATTGCTTTGAAAGCTGTCAAAGTTTTTTGCAAACGTACAAAATACTGTAGTGTAAAAAGCAAATTATTTTCATGGAGTATCTGTCAGTTGAAGTCGTCATTTGTCATACAACAACAAATTTTAAATTTGACCAATCAGTGTTCGCTATCCATGACAGTCCGCCATATGTTTGAGATCAGTGAGGATGACCACCCACTCAACACCGTTGGTCACCCACGCCCGCGATATTTGATGAACTTTAGACTCCGCTAATGCTTTCGTTTCCCCGGGTGTAAATAGCCGGGGGGAATTAGTACCCTCGCACGGCGCTTCGCGCCGCCGGCTCGGGGATGACTTGTTTAATTCACATGCTCTTTTATATACAAAAGTGTTGTGATCTGTTGGCTCACGTCACTTGAAATTTAATTAAATGGCACATCAACCACGTCATTCCAAACATAGTGAAGTGATTCCAGTTAACGTGCGTGCATCCAGGACAAGAGAAATTAATTTTGCACATTACTTATCTAGTGGCTTTCCCTCCTGATCTATAGTATTGTGCTTCTCAATTTCAATTGACTCTCTAATTGAGAAGCACAATACTATAGATCAGGAGGGAAAGCCACTAGATAGTACGTGGCGTGCTCTCTTTAATGTGCAAAATTAATTTCTCTTGTCCTGGATGCACGCGCGTTAACTGGAATCACTTCAGTACGTTTGGAATGACGTGGTTGATGTGCCGTTTAATTAAATTTCAAATGACGTGAGCCAACAGATCACGACACTTTTGTGTATAAAAGAGTGTGTCCAACAAGATCACGACACTTTTGTATATAAAAGAGCGTGTGAATTAAACAAGTCATATTATTAGCACTGATGAAGATCCGCGCTTACGGATCGAAAGCTTTGCATTAATAAATTTACGTGGTTTCCACAAACAAAAAGTGTTATGTATTTTATCACCATGCAAACATACAAAGAACTTAGAACGGATTTATTTGGATGGTCACAATTCAAAAGAAATCAGGTGAAATATTTCGACGGCACATTTTACTGAGACAATTCTGACAGAAAGTGTTTCAATTGTTCTTCAATTGTGTGATACGCCAGTTCCTCAACCCTCCTAATCCTTGACAATTTGTTTTAACTTGTTTCTCAGTTTTTGGGTGAGCATTGAAATTCTCAAACACTCTTCCAGATTCAAGGGTGCTTGCATTGAAATTCTTTGTAAGATCGTGTAGTTTTTGATTGTCTGTATTAGCATTCAGTGTTTCTGGATTGGTAACATGCTGCATAAAAAGCACATTTTCTTTGTCCATCCATTTACCATATGAGACTTCTTCATTCTCGCTGTTCATGTATTCCGCTCCATCACTTCGCTCTGCACTCATGCCTGTTTGTGCTCTTCATCTTGTTTTAGGTTTACCACTCTTTTCAACAAGTATTTTCATTCCAAACGGATTGCTGCATTCTTTGCATTTGCACAACTCTGCACAAACCTTCTTGGCACGTAGACAAGGACAGCAAGATGAGTAAGTCCGACCAGATTCCATCTTGCTATCCTTGCAGTTTTCCTTTGATTTCAAAGCTTTCCTGTTCATACCACAGGTGCATTTATTTTCTTTTTCCGTTGCATTCTTTTCATCTTCTTGGGTTGTTTCTAGTTCTTGAAGAGTGTCATAGTGTCCAGGTCCGTCCGGTGAGAATGTAATAAATATTTTGTCCCCTACTTTGTTGAATTTGTTGGGTGTTAAGGTTATAACATGGTAGCTTGTTAGTAATATCAGATGCGTCTTTAGAACATTTGCTAATGCTTTTACCATCAAATCTCCCATATCTCTGGCAAACACACCTGGCCTGTCAAATCTTTCCACCATGTCATCATACTCTTTGTCATTCATGCTTTGTAGAAACGGCATGCACTTCTCCCTGTTTGTTTTCAGTTCGTTCGTCATTGTACTTTGAAGCCTTTGTGGGATCAAATCGACATCGGAAGTTGATTTAATGCCTAAATAATTGTAGTATTCACCGGTTCCATGCAAAAAGTGTTGTGAAATACTGAATGCAACTGCATTGAACAAACAGTTTCCCTCCTTCGACATGGGAATGAATTTCATTCTAAAACATGCAGCTATGTTTATCAATTTCGTATTGGATTGCTTGTCTGTGCAATTATTTGCTTGTTGCTCGATGTTTGGATTTACAGAACCACAGTAAATGTATTTGAGAATTTCGTTATGAAAAAATAAATCCTGCCAGTTTAAATCACTACCGTCATTGCTGCATGTTTTTATGACATTATGTAAATGTAACATAGACATCGCACGTTCAAGTAATTTTGAAAATGAATCATTACTTTGATCATCAAGGGTTTCTTGTTGATGCTGAGAGTTATTAGAAACATGCACGTAGGCTTTCACTCCAATACCAAACTGTTCCTTGCGTTGAATGCGGAAGGTGCTATCCGTTTTAATGTTTGTTGGAAGTGACAAGGGTTCGACAATTGGAATTCCAATCTTATTTTTCTGTTGTGAATTCCATGCATAAAAGAAAACAGTTAACAAAGCAAAGGCCAATTCTGGTCCCATTTTTGCACGGGCAAAAAATTTATTAATTTTTTCATGCAGCCTTTCGTTGATAATTGTTGTGTACCGTGGTGGTATGTTGGACAAACATCCCAGCTCAATATGCTTCCGAATGTTTGCAACTTCTTTCTCAAAGGAATCCCGAAATAGTGGCACTGCACTAGATTCTGAAATGTGTTTCCATTTTTCTGTGAAACTGTCTACATTTTCGATAAGTATCTCCTTTGGTGGCGTTTCTTTTTGACATTTTTCTCCCCTATCGTCAATATGTCTGAACACCATAGCACACTCGTGCTTACAATTAGCTTGGAAAGGATGACTCTTTTTTGTTATTCTTTGGGTCACATGAAACAAGTCCAACAAGACTCTTGTTTCTTCTCTGAATACTTCATGTATTTTATTACGCCAAGAACAACAATTGTCTAACATAAAAATTGCACACCACCATTAAGCAAATCTTCCCTGTCCCTGAATTGTTCCAACAGTGATTTAACATCTGTAAACTGTTCCAATTTAGTTAGTTTCCATGTAACAACTTCATACTTCTCGTTTAACACTACAAATAGGGAATTGAATTGCTTCACCCAGGCACCATCTGATATCTGTTTCATGCCAATGTTTACAGCCACGTACAAGACACGTTTGAATACTGTTATGTTGGAAATATTAGCATCTTGCATTTGTATTTCAAATATATTGATATAAATAGATTTCAATTTGCTTGTCCGCCAGATGAGCATGTTTTCCTTGGCAAGTCATTTACTTGTTTGTGGGTACGATAAAATATTCTTGACCTGTTTTACAAGCTACAACTATACTTAAGCATCTCCCAAACAATTTCATTGTCAAAACCTCAAAGTATCCTTGCCATGGGAAACCTGTCAATTTCTGACGTGCACACAAACAATAAAAGTTGTCAAGGAAATCTTGCCAATGAAAACTTACAAGTCATTAGCGCATGCGCCTATAAGTGTCATCTGTTAACAAGTTACTGTAAATATATAATCTTATTAATACATTTGTATAATAAAAAATAATAGTATAGTAATAATTTTATTATATTATTTTTATTATATTCCTTCGTCAAATATAACTTTCGTAATTATTTCGTACAATATCTATACTGCATATAGTTAATTATTTTAGTTCACAAACTACACAATTAGCTTATTGGCTGGGATGCTGTTGAAATTTAGCAAATACTGTAAACCTTTGTAATTTACTGCACGTCGCTTGACATGGCCTGACATTTGAACTGCATGAGATTAATGCAATCGCCCAATTTTGAAAATTTCCCTATAAATGATTTAATAGTATTGTTTGCGTGTGAACATAACCCTGATGGACTGATCTGGACTTGAGCCGGTTACAGACAAGCAACTTTTCTATGACAAATTTTTATGTGACAAGTTTTATTTGCCAAGTTCACATGTCTATATGCAACAAATTTATATGACAAGTTTTCATATCAGACAAGTTTTATTTACTGGTGTGAACATGTCAGAAAAATTAAGGTGTTTATCGCCGCCATGACAGAAAAATTATAATAGTCCGCTGGCCAATCACATCAAATGCTCAGATTACTTGGACAAGTTTTCTAGTGTCAACCATACAGATGAACAAAATTTGTACTTTGACAATTTTTTCTGGATCGAAGGACAAGTGCACTTGTTGTTGGCAAAAATTATCATGGACACTGTGTTATTCAAACAAAACTATATGTATTTCTACAGAATTTCTCCCACTAAAAAAGTTCTCCCCCTCCTACCCCAAATTCAATGTTGGCAAATCATCTAAACATACTTTTAAAATTTAAATGCGACAAACAACATTGAATAGGGGCCAGGGGGGCGGCTAATTTAATGAAATAACGTCTCAATGTTCAATATTGCCATTATTGGCAATAAAACAGTTAGGTGTCCACATAATTTTTGCCAGGATTGTCTGAAAATAACCTGTCGATAATTTTCACCCAAAACAGGCCTTCTACTATAATTTTTTGATGTTGCTATTGCTTTAGGATAACAAATACATTGTTTAAACTGGTTTAATTGTTTTTAAAGCATATTTATTATTTTGTGAGTGAGCAGCTTTTGGCCATGATACGCGCCCATTTTTGAGTGAATCTCTAATATATCGTCCTACTTTGGATTTAAAGTTGTGCAGTAAATTTATTAATTACATTCGTCATAGACATGCAATTATTAGTTAATTATTTTTAAAAATGGTCAACAAGCTTTGTCCTGAAACAACAGCATTGATTCGTTTGTACAAAAATGAAACTGAACTGAGCTATAGAAAAATTGCTCTGCGATGTGGAGTGTCTAAGTCAGTTGTTCATAAAATCTGCAACACAAAATTGCATCAGAAGTTGGTGCCTAAGATTTCAAATGGTAAAGTTGGATGACCGAGGAAGTTGGTGCCTAAGATTTCAAATGGTAAAGTTGGACGACCGAGGAAGTTGGTGCCTAAGATTTCAAATGGTAAAGTTGGACGACCGAGATGTCTTAACGAAAGGGATGAAAGATTACTATTGCGAGCTGTTAAGACGTTACGAAAGACATCAGTGAACTTCTCCGTGAAAGATGTTATACAGGAAAGTGGACTGGATCCAAGCATTGCAAAGCGAAGGACAATTTCTCTCTATCTTAACCGTGCCGGCTAACATTTACAAGCAAGAAAAAAAGGATTATTAAGTGAATCTGACAAGAAAATTCGAACGAAATATGCATGGAATGCCAAAAAATTACTTAAGGACTCTCCTAAGTTCTACATACATGACATCTCATTCTATCTAGATGGCGTTTCATTTGTTCACAAATACAATCCACTTAAAACTGCCCTGCAACCGAAATCGCATGTGTGGAGAAAGCGAGGTGAAGGACTAGAGATAACAAGTAACAGAAGTAAAGATTTGCCTGGAGGAAGGCAATTGTATCTCATGGTCAGTGTTGCGTATGGTAAATGAGTAATTTTAAGAAAGGTATACGGGAAATTGGATGGTTCTTTTTTTGCAGGTTTCATGAAAGAAAACCTAAACTTATGCTTAGCTAAAGCTGGTCCAAGGAGAAGAAGGCAGCGCATATTTGTCATGGACAATTGCCCCTTCCAAAATAGCAAAACCAAACCTGAATAGTATTGAATGCACATGGCACAAAATACCAGCGAGATCTCCTGATTTAAACCTGATTGAAAACATTTTCCATGTAGTAAGGAAGCAGCTAGAAGAAGAAGCCATAAATATGCAATTGACAAAGGAATCATTTCAGAATTTTCATGACAGAGTATGTCGCTGTTTAGATAACTTAAGTGTTGACCTTGTTGATCGGACACTCGAAACTATGTCTAATCGCATTACCACGATACTAAGCAAAAAATGAATTAGATCAAAATACTAAATAACATTCCATTTTACTATATTAATATATACATTACATATTGCGGTTTTAAACTCCCGTCTATTCAAGAAAAATAACTGTATAAAACTGTAAAAATTGGTGTAAGTAATGTTATTTTGAAAGTTTAGTAATTTGACACAGTACACGGCTGTGTACCGAAGTGATAAAAATATTCCACTGTGTATTCTTTAACTCTACGCTACACAAGTGTGTACCGTGACGTCACTGTTAGATTAAAGGCGCTCTACTACAGTCGCTATTGGTCTCCGTTTGTTATAACCAATCAGAAAATAGTGAGCGCTTCGGATGCGAATCTACACAATGAAATAACTCTAGTCTGTTACATTTAGTGACAATTTGGTTCTGCACTTCAGTACTTTTGTTAAACTTGTCTTACTGCCTCTGCATAATTAGTTCAGCAAAGCATCTGGCGCATGGTTGAGCCTCGATTTGCTCGTTTTTAAAAATTTCTGCGTGGAAACCAAATACATTCCACCTCACTCTCATCATTTCTGTTTCCGTAGCATCCAACACACCTCCCTTAACGAAACTGATTTCTTCTTTTGCCATACAAAATATTGGCAAATCACTAGAGAGAGTAGCGTCTTTGCTGTAATGACTTTTGGGCGCGGGTAAATGCACTAACTGACCTTCCAACATGAGTAAAAGATCATGCCATGGTATAATCTGCTTAGACCACCTGAAATCGTTCAGGAAAATGACGTCTGCATCTTCGGCTTCTACCCAGGCAAAAGTCGTGGTAGCAGGATTGTGGAAGGTGCTGTAAATTTGGTTAAGTGGGTTTAACAGGAATGTCTTACAGCAATTTGCTGGGCCCCTAAGATAAATGTTGCGGTATTTTCCATGACCTTTCTCCAATGATACACGTACCGCCCCCGCAAATGCCGTAACATTGATACCGTTTCTGGTTAGGATGTCAATGGCCATAGCTAACCATTTGCCTAGGCATCCTTCCACGCATTGCTCTTCCAACTTTTTCTCCAGAACCTCGATTCTGCTAAGTTTCGACCTTTCCAACTTTTTCTCCGCCTCTTCCAACTCCCAGCCAACGGTCAAAGCTTCCTCGACTGCTTTCGATCCTTGATTGGCAACGAACTGGGCCACTTTTCCCTTCTCTCTTCTGCTAATTTGCCAAAGCAAGAAGTTCTAGTCGGGTTCGTATTTTCTTCGAAACTGCAAGTTGAGACATGTCAAAAATGCTCATCCTCTTGCGGCCATCCGTCGCTTCGGAATCAGGAGTAGGTTCACTGTCTACGGCGTTACTTTGCACACACAGACTAGCATTATTTGTGACTGGGAAATCACCATTCGTTAGATCAGGGTGATTCAAAGACTGTATATAATCCTTGTCATCTTTCGTAGCATAAACCCATGCAGAATAATAATTCATGTGAACTCCACTGAAATTCACTTTTATTCCATGGTTAGAATCGAGGAAATTTCTAAATTTCAACCAATGACGGCGTGATTCAAGCTTAACAGCCATATGATAGTGTACTCCGCGATCACTATGATGCTCCATGCTACAAACCCATTGCAAAATGTTGCAGGCTGACAAAGGATCTGTATTTTGAAATGCATGTATGACCAATAATGCGAATGATTCACGCTCAGGAACTAAAGAGCTAGATCTGCTTGGCTGTAAGTTATCAGGTAAACAAACCTCGCATTTTTTGGCCGAACATTTTGCACTGTTTGACTAAGTACTGAGACATAGTCATTCTCCATAATGTACAATAATGTGTTATACGAAAATATTGCTTTGTAGAGTTGCAGCCTAAGTTGTAATTGTATAAATCCTGACTAATACGTAAAAAAGCCGCTTGACATGTAATGTGAGAGCAGCACTTAACATAGTCCGAAAGTTTAAAAAAAAACTAAATATAACCAGATTTACTAATTGCTTGCCTCCTTTGCTAAACAAACAAGCATTTTTATCATTGGTTTGATTTTAAAATGCATGAAATCGAACCGTTTGAAATATGTGATGATTTCAGACAATCCTGGCAAAAATGATTGTGGACACCGCATGCGTCAAACAAAACTATATGTATTTCTACAGAATTTCTCCCACTAAAAAAATTCTCCCCCTCCTACCCCCAATTCAATGTTGGCAAATCATCTAAACATACTTTTAAAATTTAAATGCAGCAAACAACATTGAATAGGGGCCGGGGGCGGCTAATTTCATGAAACAACGTCTCAATGTTAACATTGCCATTATTGGTGATAAAACAGTTAGGTGTCCACATAATTTTTGCCAGGATTGTAGCATGCTAGCTTTTGAACAAGTACACTTGTCATAGAAAAAATTGTCAAAGTTACGTGTACAGACAAGCAAATAAAACTTGCCACATAAAAATTACTTGTCATAGAAAACCTGCTCGTCTGTAACCGGCTTTATCAGTATGAACTCGTGTTTGTTTACTCATGAACTCAAACTTTGAAATTCGACTGCATAGTTTGAACACAACTGGAGTTTATTTCAACTGATATACCCCCAGCTAACATACGTTATTCATATTGTCATAACAGTGGAGAATAAAGATACAGTAACAATCATATTTATTACCATGTGCAGGGGTAGCAAATCTACCTTGCGTTGCATGCGTTTATTTGCTTACGGGCGGCTGCTACACATGCTACATTTTATCTTGTCCACCATGTCTGGCATAAAATAATATTTGCATATACTCTTTCATACTCCGGCGTGGATTGCAAATCGGAACAATATCACGCAAAGGCAAAATGCTACGAGTATTAGTATTTTACATGGCATTGTATATTTAGCACACATATGCGTATTTGTACACAAATAATTATTTTACTAGGAGACCCAGCAACGGAAATACCTTACCTTTCCACACCTAGCCGACAAGTGGAAGTTACTATATTATGTGAGACGCTGCGGCTTGCTGTTAATGGAGACTGATATACAGAAACTATTATAATATGAATTTTGTATTTATTGTCATATTGAAATCAAATCAATGACAATATGAATTTTGAGTCCACAAGTCCATAGGCCCAGTCCATAAGTAGTAATAGTAAAGTGTGTACTAAAAAAAAAAGGGTGTGTGTGAACCTACTTGATTTAACTGGAGCTTTGAATGGAAAGAGAAAGTAACGCGGGCGTCAATGGTTGTCGCCGCTGACTGTACGGACGGGGGGGAAAATCTGAAGGGGGCGTTCCCATTTTTGGAGAAAGGTTGTGACGCGTATGCGTGATTGACAGCCGTCGTGTGTGCGTGCGCTATTGCGCATGCGTCGGGGAGCTCCGAACCCAAAGCCTCGGTTGACCGAAGTGGCGTTCGTTCGAATTTGCCGCCGTTTTTCAAAGTGCGTCGCGTGACGTCATCGGTGTTTTCCCGTGTGTTTCCACTTCGCGCGTGTGTTTTTAATGTTTCCACTACGAATGTCGGTGTTTTTCGATGTTTCTTAAAAAGCTGTTAATAAATATGGGTATTTATATATTAATATATTAACATATTGTATTAACAACATATTGTATTGACATTTTTTAGGTTTTTAAAAAATGTCAGTAACGTTTTCGTGTATAACAATGCAAAAAAATCATAGTTTATAAAAAGTTGATTTTAATTATTAAGTATTTACAAAAAAAGGTTACAAATTTATATTTTTTATTTAATATTGTCATTGTAAAATAGATTGTCAGCAGCTAGAGTCACTATTATTTTGTTTTTTTAGCAATGTATATAGTACATATTCTGCGCTGTTTATTTTTTCCAAGAGTTCTCGTTTGTCTTGAATAATCTTTAAGGCCTGTTCACGCGTCTCACCGAACAAATCGTAGGATTGAAATTCCTGCATTGTGTTGACCACAATGTCTTCGGGGATTTTTGTAAGGATTTTTTTGGATTTCTTACATTTTCCCTTTGTGTCCGGTAGCGTGAGTTGACGTCGTGTCAACTGTAAAGATTGCAGGTCGTTGTAATCTTCGTCGATTCGTACGAGTTGTTGATCGGTGGTGGGACGACCGGATTCGCGTTTACGCTTTCTAGCTGTGGGTTTTTTTTTCCTGCTCGGTTTTATTTTCTTCGTCTTCGTAGAATTTCTTTTGTGCGACAGCGATATCTTTTCCCCGATGTTTAGGTGGCGATGTGTAAACCATGGGTATATTTTCTGTACCAATGATAGTGTCAATGTCGAAGGTATTCAGTACGGGGAATGATGACTGCTCGCCAGTGTTGTTTTCTGTACCCGAGTTCTCATCGATAATTACGGTTTCGTTTTCGGGTTCTTGTTTTTGAAAGCTGAAATTGTGAAATTGTCCTTCCACAGTATTCACGTGTTTTTTTAGCTTTTGAAGTTTCTCCGGCAAAGGCGTGTATTCGGGTGTTAAAATGTTAGCAGCGGCAGCGGCGGGTGAGGTAGGAGGCATGTTTAATGGTGATGATGAAGGAGTGGATATCTGTTGCTGAGGTTGTGGTGAAGGGTGGTTTATCGAAGGAGTGGATATCTGTTGCTGAGGTTGTGGTGAAGGGTAGTTTATCGTCGGGTTTAAAGGCAAAGGTGTGATTGGTGTATTTATTTGCTGCGGTTGCGGTGTTGGAAATTGTAAAGCAGGAGAAGAGGTGGTTATCGTTGTCTGCCTGCCATGTAAATGCCACTTGATAAAATTCAATTCGACGATATTCTGAGGATACTGTGCTGCGAATGTCGTGAAATTCCAGTAGTCTGCTAATATAGGCGTTAGATTTGTGCTTTCCGAAATAGCCAATCCAGATAGCTCGAGAAATTTGGTAAATTTTGGATCCATTTCGAGTTTTATTTTTGTTGTTGCGCGTACGAGTAGTAGTAGGAAAATGTTTTACAAAATGATATATTGTAAGGTTTAACGTATAACCTGCGTGACCATATTGGGTCATAGGACTTTTAGAACAATACATAGATGTTTACATGTGTTTATGTACACCCGGCAACAGTAAATGTGAAAGGAAAGTTCTATGACCATATAGGGTCGTGGGAATATTAACTGTTTATATGTGTTTTTAATTCGTTGCGATGGCCAACACATGTGTTTGTAAAAAGGGAAAAAAGATATATA